TGCGGAGGAGGGGGACGGTGCCTGGCGGACGGGGGGGACGGAGGACGCGGACAATACTTTGGGATGCGCTCGGTGACCCTGGGGGTTTTGTGTTTGCGTGGGGGTTGTTTTCCTTGTTTTTATCTGGATTCGCGTGATTACAGCGCTTGGCCCTTTTTCATCGCGAACTTGGAATTTTAAGAGTCTGTCTCTTGCCCCAACCTGAGAAATACTCTGATTTGGTGTGTTGGTTTTTTTTTTGGTCAATGTTTAATAACTTTGTTCTGAGCAGAGGTTTTATTCGACAGATCATGAGTAAGGAATTTTTTATTAAGCGCGAGGGAGGTGGGGTAAGGGGGAGCATTTATCTTCCGAGGTTTTAATGCTGGTTTAAGCAATTTGGTCGGTGATCGATTTGCCCGCTTCCTGCTGCGTCTCCCCGGGTTTTCAGGAAAACACCAGGTTTCGCGTTAAAAGTTCTTGTAGGCCACACAGCTCTCAAACAATGGCCCTGCTTTAATTCCCAGTCTCAACTTTCAACAAAAAACCCACAAAACCACCCAGCCCAAACTCTCTTCTGGTTCGCGATTGAACTTTTTTTGAAACACGCATCTTGTTCCGACTTGTTTTTTTTAGTGCTGTCTGTTATTTTTGGAGGAATATGGAATAAGAGCGAGGAAGGTCTGAACGTGTAGCTGTGCTGAATGTGGATTAAAGCTGCCTCGTTCAGCGTCGTCACCGCTTCAGCTTAGAACTTGCGTGGAGATGTCTCTGAAGTTTTTGTTGCTTGTGGAACATCCCATAATCGAAAGTATTTTGCTTGTGATGACAACACGCAGCAGTTTATTTACAGGCTTTGTTTTCATCAAGGGAAAAGGCGGATTGTCTGCTCTGAGGGCTTTGGAGCGGTGCAGAAGCCTTTGTTTGTAAATACGTAACTCTTCCCAGCGAACGGTTTACCTGGGAAAAGTTTATTGTATGTTTTTTACTAAGAGTTTGGGAGTGAGGAGGGTCTTAGTAGCCATTAGCAGCCGGGTGGTTAATGAAGGTGCGTTGTGTAGGTGATTTCCCGTGTTCCCGATGCTCCGAGTGCTTTGAATGGCAGGATTCAGCCGGCCGCTGCGTTTACCACGGCATTTCTGTGAAAACACGGCTTGGAACTAAACTTGAACTACCCAGAATGCTCTTTTCCCCTTTGCTCCCTTTCAAAATGTCGCCTTTGCCAAGTTTTTTCTCTCGGGTTTGGAGCTGCCTGGTCTGTATGAGACGAAAGAGGAAGTGTCTGGGAGCAGGAGGCACTTGTGCGGATCCTCGTGGTGCCCTAACTGGGATTTTCTAGAGTCTAAAAAAAACCCTCCCGTTTGTATAGCAGCACAAATAACTAACGATCTCCGTGCAAATTAAACCAGGAATGAGTTGGCACTGGTGGAGCAGGGGGACCCCACTGCCTGTTGAGGGAGGACAGTATCGTTGTGGCTGTGCTGATTTCCACTGTAACTTTGTACCTTGGGGTGCTTCCACGTGGAAACAGGGGCTTCTCACGGGATATGGATACTTGAAAGTTTTGGTGGATTCATAGTATCTCCGTGTATTTTTTTAAAGACTGCCCTGAGGTAACTTGTAACCTCTTTTCAGAGGGGCTGCTCCGATATCATTGCGATTAATAGACGCCCCGACTTGGTGATATGTGAATTTCTTACCAGTAATTATTTATTTTTTTCCTTATTGCGTAGAGGAGCTTTATTGCCTAATTTAATGTTACTGAAGGATTTTGCTTCTAATGTTTATTAAAGGAAAAATGCCTTTAAATCTTAGCATTGTGTTCTTAACAATCAGTGAAGATTCAGTAATACCAGGCTTTGTCACAGTGTTTGGTGAAGTATTTGAGGAAGGCAGTGATTTTCTAGACTTTTTGAAAGGTGAAGGTCTTTGGACATATAAAGCATCTTGCAGAGCTGCTTGTTTACGTGGCTGTGGAGGCTCTGTGTGTTTGTGTTGACAAATAAATGTTGTATGTGTAATAAAAAAAATCTGAACCACTGCCGTTCTTATAGTAATTTTCTTCTGAATATTAACACTGGTCTCAGTTAGTGGGACAAACCTGAGTAAGTTTGATCCAAGATAGGATTTAGACTTTTATTTTTCTTTTTAGTGTCAACTTTCTCTCTCCGCTGTTAGAAAATTGTTCTTGGAAGTCGCTTGTAGTAGTTGACTGTTGTTCAAAACTACTATGATGAGCAGAGAGGAAACAGAGCCGCCTTTGAGGCCATGGGAGCTGCTGTCAGGATCAGGGCCAAGGTTTGCAGCCACCGAGGTACAAGAGTAAAAGCATTCTCGTGCTGGTATGCAGCGGTGATGGGAGCCCGTGAGGGCTGGATTCCTCCCCCCGCCTCAGTTTCATCCTTGTCTGTGGTATTTGTGGCGTTGCATTTAGGGGACTGAAGTCATAAACGATCAATCTTTGGAAAAAAGAATGATAATTCAGACTATACCGTGCCTTTAAAACCAAATTCGATTTGTGTGTGTGCTCTGCATGGGCTGAGCATTACGTAACAGGGGAAAACCACTTTTCTGTTCACACGTGTGATGTCTTTATTGCTCTTAGGATCAGCTGATAATGTTGTCTTAAAACAACGAACAAACGTGTGTTTTTTTGACGCTGGGATGCCGTCAAAATGTTTGGGGGACTAGTTGAGTACCTGTCAGCCCGGTCTGCTGGTTGCCCTCCTGCATGCAGATGATTTTGGGTGTATGCGAAGTGTTTAGGGGTGTGAAAAGCCAACATTTTCAGTGTTGTATGGTTTCTACGATTTGTCTGGTTTTCCCCTGGTGCCATCAACAGCAGGACCGGCACTGCGGGCTGCTCTGGCTCTGGAAAGTTCTGCCGAGATCCCAGGCACTGAGAGGTTAGCTGCTCTTTCTCCAGGGAGTCTCACACAAAACATGCTGGTGTGTTTCACCATCTCGGGATGGAAGCCAGCTTCTGAGTGAGGAAGAGTGCGCGTTGTGTTTGGGACTTAACAGTATTTTTAAGTTTGCATTTGAAAACAACCCAAAACCTGTTGCCTTGATGTTTTGCACGACTGAACGAACACGTGGTGATACAGTGGGACTTGTGTGTTGACTGCAGATCTGCCTCCTGATTTGTCAGGTGTAAACGCGCGCGGCGGGTGCTGATGGTGTAATTTGCCTTCCACCAGGTTTTTCAGGGGCTTTTTTCCCAGCACTTTGCTGTGGCAGCGCTCCAGTCGGTGTTTTGTCTGTTGCATAAATTGCCATTCTGATTTAAGTGTAATGGGCACCTTACCTGGATCTCGCCTGTACCAATAACACTTCACAGCACAAAATAAGGTTTTTTTTTTGCCAGTGTGCGTTTTTATATGCTATTTCAGCTGGTAGGTTAATGGAGCAAAGAACGCTGTTAAAAGGAGTCAGATTTGACATCGTGACGTCTCCCCGCCGGTCGGGAGATGGAAGTGTTATCTAATACATAAAGCCGAAGCTGTAAAGATTTCATGTTTTGTTTTCCTTCCCCTCTCCCCCCCCTCCCCATAGGTGCTGGTGGAATGAGCGTTGCGTGTGTTTTGAAGAGAAAAGCAGTACTCTGGCAGGACTCGTTCAGCCCCCACCTGAAACAGCACGCTCAAGATACAGCTAATCCCAACATGCCTGTTGTACTGACATCTGGAACAGGGTCCCAGGCTCAGCAACAGCCAGCTGCAAATCAAGCCCTTGCAGCAGGGACGCACTCCAGTCCTGTTCCTGGATCCATAGGAGTTGCAGGCCGCTCCCAGGACGACGCGATGGTGGATTACTTCTTCCAGAGGCAGCATGGTGAGCAGCTTGGGGGAGGAGGAAGCGGTGGAGGCGGCTATAATAACAGCAAACATCGCTGGCCTACTGGGGATAACATTCATGCAGAACATCAGGTAAAAAAAATAAAATAAAATTTTAAAAAAAAGTTGAATGTTTTCAAACGCAACACGCGAACGCATCGGGTTTATGATAGATGCTTTTAATGACTTTTTTTTTAAAGCTTAAGCTGGTTATTGTGCGGTTGGAATGGCAACAGTCGTACTTTTTGTTTTCTCTTTTCAGGACTGCGGTGCCGTGGTAGCTATGAGCTGAAACGTTTCTGCTCTTGAGGGTGTTGAAATCCCAGTCTGCTTTCTGTGGCAGTCAAATACATGTTTGCAAAAATTTCTTTTTCCCTTTATTGATTGGTTTTTGGTTTTGTGTGGTGGTGTGTGTGTTGTTTTTTTTTTTTGATGTGTGAACCAGCGTAGCAGTGACTGCTGCTGCTTTTCAAATCTGTTGCTGTAGTTAAATAATTCTTATGTAATGGTATTACAAAACTGCCAATGGATGTAGGTTGAGCTTTTAGCATTCCCAATATTGAAAACCACAGTTCTGGAAGTTGCTGGTAATGTGTTTTCCTGGGTTTCTTTTGTTTGTTTTGGGGGTTTGGGTTTTTCTGGTTATAATTGGGATGGGAAGGTGGTATTAATGTGCTTCGCTGAACCGAGAAGAGAACAGCCTTAAGAATGTGGTGAAACAGTGTTTTCAGAAACACAGCTAGCTTCTTACATGTCTAAAAGGGTAATGGGCCAAACGTGCCTCAGTAGTAGTGTTTACTAGCAGTCTCTTCAGTGGTTGCGTTGTCAGAAGTGCTGCGGGTTAAACGAGCGTGTGACTCACTCGGCCTTTCTGTCTGTGACCTGTAAGTAGCTCTCAAAGAAGAAGATGTGCTTCCTCTGCTGAGGGAGCACAACTTAAACGCAAGCGCGTTTTCAAAACGGGCAATTCCCACAAATATTGTCAGAGCAGCAGGCACAAAACTTTTGCAGCCTTTACGAGTATCTCTTGCCTCTAGTTTTCCAAATAAAAGCCAACAAGCCCTTGTTCCTCTGCTGCGCCTCCCCAGGGGATGTGTTGCCATCCGGACCATTTAAAAGCAAAGTTGCAGTGGATTTTGCAATCTCACTGAAGTCAGTGCGTACATCAACAAAGAAGTAAACCCAAGTGCCCTCTTAATTTGTTCTGGATGAAAAACCGCATAAAATACCACGATATGAACTAAGCAGCTGGAAGAATATTGTAGTTATTCCCGTATGTGAAAACGTAGTATTTGGTTATCACTTTAAAGGAAAACACTGCATTGAAATGAGATGTAACTTTTCTGTGAACTTACACAAGTTTGCAGTCACTAAATGTAAAACTTGTTTCCAGAGATAGCGATCGAAGAGATCTTGCTGTGCTTTAAGTTGTGTAATTAAGCAAATAATTTTGTATTGAAAGGCTGCAACTTTTAGATTTTTAAAATAAAAGCTGTCGTGTGGTCTGGTGTGGAGACGTTTAGGCAGAAACTGCTATTGTTCGGACATTGTGTGGAAAGATGACTTCATGAATTGAAATGAACGTCATAAAATTCTGAATCCCTTTTTCCTCTGACTCGTACTTTCATCTTCCTTTACCTGAAAATCCCTAAAAGCAAAACCAGCAAAACTCACTGGAGATTGAGTGGGCAGGGGACGGGACAACCAGACCCTGCAGTCCTTAAAAGTTGCACTGGTATTTGAACTTTTTTTGTTGCATTCTTTAATAACCAGAAGACTTAAAGTTCCCTGGAACAAAAGAATCCTACCTGTTACAGAGACGTGCCCTGATGTCAGTAGATGTGTTACTCTTGATTTTATTCAGTAACTTCTTGAATGAAATGATGCCAATAAATGTACCACTTAATGACAGGAAAAACTCCTTAGCTTGTACAAATCTAAATGAACTTTTAGAAAGTAACACGTGTTGTTTGGAGGCAGAACACTTCTGAGAAGGTTGTACGGACAAAATATACCTGCAGGATTAAGCTGACAAGGTTCTGTGGGATGCTTTCTCTGTTTTTTTCCCCCCATGTGTTCTGTGATCTGAAGCTCCAGAAATACCCACCTTAATATAATTAACGTTGGAACCTTATCTGTTCTACTTCCTGGTGGTTTTTACATCGGTTGTAATGTATTTGTCCTACAGTCCTGGTGTTTTGCATTCAGGAGGTGTCTTTAAACTGATCTTTGTGTTTAATTTCTTCAAAGTCAGCTCTGAGATAGGGCAGTAACCCCTTTTCTTGTGTGAATTATTTGATACTGTATACCCCAGTGATTGCTGGACAGTTTTATCTATATGTTTATGCCTTTCTTGAGTGTCTCTTCTTCCATGGTTCTCTGTTTGCCTCAGGGTTTTACTCATGGAAAGCCGAATGCAGGACATATGTAATCCTAATACTGCCATTCCTTTTGACTTTTTGGCCACCTCTGCGTCTTAAATTATAAATTTCTTGGAGCAAGAACTAGCCTTATGCATATAAAATGATTCAATTCAGTTTGGGCTTCACTGGGGTAGGGTTGAATTTATCCTGCAAGAACAGAAGCAGAAGGAAGTGCTGGGACATGCGGAGAGGTGGAGAATCGTCACGGATGTCTGCGAAGTCCCAGTTTCTTATGGATACACTTTTATTACTGGACTCTTGATTTTAAACTTTCAAAGATAGTGCAGCAAAGGCCCTTGCCTTGTTGCCTTGAAGACTGGTTAGGAAACTTAGTAGCTAAAAGATAATGGAAAATCAGAAAAAAATAATTATAGGGTAATGTAGGTTAATGCCTGCCTAGAGCTTGGGAGGTCGTAATTAAAGGTAGAGGGATTTTTTTAATTGTTGAATCCCAGTTTCTTCTTTGTTACATACGAAGGCAGACATCTATGTCTGGTGATAATACTCCAGTGATTTTTTACTAAATGATAGCATTTCATCATGTGCTGTTAAATAGCTGTGAGTGTTGTGAGTCAGAACTTATTTATGGGATCCTTGCTTTTCATTTTTTATTGTGCTGGCTGTTCCTCCGTGTCGTTTCTCCCGTCTTTGCCTAGCACCCCTGAGAATTGAGCTGTGAATGGCTGTAGTAGCGATGACTTAAGAAAAAGTTTCTCTGCTCCTGAGGAAGCAGGTAGCGTCCTCTTGTTGTGAACAACAGGAAAATGCTGATTCTTTCTGTATTTTACCTAGAAACTTACTTTTCCCTTTGCATTTTCCCTTCTCCAGAAGGCAAGGGGGAAGATTTTATATAAAACTAAGCTGTTAAAGATGCTACTGTCATTTTACATATTTAATTATTGAAGATAAGCCATCCACACAAATAGCATGTATTATAAATTCCTCTTTGTTCTTGCAGACACTGAAGTGATGGTGAAATAGGACTTTTTTCTTTTCTGGATTGGAATCTCTGAACTCTTAGGCAAACTTGCAGCTGTTTGAAGCTGCGAAATGCTTAATCACCAAACTTTACGTGGAGGACACTTGCATCAGCCAGGTCTTGACTGCAAAACATGGTCTTCTCTCTTTGTCCACAAAAGGCAGCAAGATGAGGTTGAGTGTCAATGTCCACCAGTAATTCTAAGATGAAAACTGAAGAGGGTTAAGCTGTCGTTCATCTACCATGTCCGATGACTCCTCAGGTAGTTTGGGCAGACAGTTACGATAGCGGCACTGGGGTGTTTTCGTGCTGTTTATCCTGCAAAAAAAATGGGTAGAGATGAGAACCTCACTTCAAGTAGGTGAGTGAAGAGGTACAAGATGACTCCTGACGAGGAATGGCTTAGGTGGGATTTGTCTTGGTTGTGAAAGGTTGCATATCTCATTACAAATCCAAACAGCCATCTGCTGCTCCTGAGGGGAACGAAAAGACAGTTGACAGCTGGGAGAAGTTATCAACACTGAGCAGGTTTTTAGGAAAATTGACTGGGTTTTCTTGGACGAGGTCTCTTGTGGCTTGTGCGTGCATGTCTCTTCTTGAACTGGAGTGAAGAGAGTTTCTTTGGTGGTGGTCCCTTCTGAATTACAGTGAATGGATATAGTTAGGCTGTCTGAACTGCAGTTAGGGTAATGTGGGAGTTGCTTAGTAGCAGCAAATGATTTTAGGGATTTACTTTCTTTGAGAGCATGTTTAATTAATAAATTGAGACAATAGAACTCTGGAGGGATTGTCTTGTTGAATGCGGGGAATTTTTCATTTATAGTTGGTGAAAAATAGTGAGAGCAACAGGGCTGGGACTGGGTTTTAGGCTCATTTTGCCTTTTGACAATGTGACCGTGCGACTTCTTAACTGAGAACTTGCATTCAAGTGGAGACAGAAGGTAATTCTGCTGGCAGCTGCCCTTCTGGAGCACTGCTACTCAAACTGCCGCTTGGTGCTGTGCAAGTGTCTGGATTTGATGTCAGTTGTCCGTGTTTGGTGCCTGTTGGCAGGCACCATGTCCAGAGGTTGCCTTGAAGTCATGGCCAGGTCCTCTAAAGAGATCCTGGAAGCTGAGGAAGCAGAAGCCCTAGCCTTCGTTCCTCCAAAGTGAAATCCCACTGAAGTGATAGTTAACTCTTGCCTCTGGAAAGCACGTAGAGTATGAGGGCTGCTCTGCTCCAAATAATCTGGCTTGTTATCTGTGCTAGAGCTGAAGGCATGATGCAAGTCCTTAATCACGTACACCGTGTGATGGAACACGTGGCTCTGTGTTCGAAGATTGTTTTCTGATGTATGTTTCATTAAATCTGTAGGATTTGCATGGGTGCTTCCTGGTATCACAGTGAACTGGTGAGCACTTTCCTTCCGTTGACACTGAAATGGCTGTGCTAACTTGATACCCAGATAATTTAGAACATAATACCTTGCTGAAATGAAACTTCTAGTTTGGCTGATTTGTTTCACAGAGATTCCTCTGTAGTAAAGGGGTATCTTGGGGGAGGGGAATTGAAACATTTAATTTAATTTTCTGCTTTATGTTGCCTTTTGAAAATTCCTTCTGCGATAGAAAGAGCATGAGTAGATTGGATATTTATGGTTGGGTATTGGAAAATCCTTCTCTTGTATAGAGAAGAAAAAAACCACCCTG